TTGCCAAATCCCTTTATTGGAAATAGAACTCTTCTGAACCAATACAAAAGAGGGTGTTCCAGTTTATAGTCCACCCTATTCCACCCCCTGTCCCACCCCAGTCTCCATCTAAGTACTGCAAAAGGAGAAGCTCTGCTCAGTGAGGACTGCGAAGCTGAATTTAAGAAACAGAGGAGGGAATTAAGAATTCAGTTCACGCACACAAGCGCTCTTCTCGCTGGAGCGATACTTTGTTAGCACTCTGTCAGCGCTGTGGAGAGAGAGTTGGGTGTCTGAGTGGGTGCCAAGGTTTTTACTGTCGATTATCTACCCTGGGAAAAGACAAGGATGATACACAGCAATTACAAACGCTCAGACACCCAAGACGTGCTCAAAGCTCAACTCATCTTTTCTAAAAGCCTCCCATTTGAGTCGTCGGAGCTCGTTTGCTCAAGGATGATCAGAAGAAATGGACAGCACCTGAGTTAAATATATGAGTGTCACAGCAAAGGGTCTGAATACTTAGGACCATGTGATATTTCAGTTTTTCTTTTTTAATAAATTTGCAAAAATGTCAACAATTCTGTGTTTTTCTGTCAATATGGGGTGCTGTGTGTACATTAATGAGGAAAAAAAATTAACTTAAATGATTTTAGCAAATGGCTGCAATATAACAAAGAGTGAACAATGTAAGGGGGTCTGAATACTTTCCGTACCCACTGTATATATTAGGGGTGTAACGGCATGAACATTTCTTATCACGATTATAGTGACCAAAATTATCATGGTATTGTTAAAATGTGCTGGAGATGTTAAAAAAGTAACTACTTTCACTTCACCAAGTTTTATATTTAAAAATTAACAAACAACAAATAAAATGACTTTTTGTTTGCATAATCACTAAAACAATAACATTACCAGTGATGTTCGGATTTTAAATGACAACTTGACTGACAACAGTTTAATAGCATGTTGAAATATCTCATGTAAATCCTCAAATAAAGCTTTGCAAAGCAGTATTGCGATTAAGAACACTCCCTTTAGGTCTTACATGGAGCGAAGATGAAAACAAAATGCCATCGAATAGTTTCTGAAGACAGTCAGAACCTTCAGAGGTACATTCATATAATTAATTAATTCATATATGCATTTGTATAATTCCCTTAGCACTCTTTTAAAACCTCCCAGCTTTTCCGCCCTGTTGTCACGCAAAACTAAACTATTCTGCTGCGCTGCACACGTGAGACTGTTACTTAAAACTGTGCTTTATGCTGGAAAGTATTTATTTATCGCGAGTTGTTCAAATTGCGGTAATCTAACATGGTTATAATGATCATTAAAATATGAAACGGTAATACTAACCGTGGGGAATTGTATCATGATTTATCGTCAAACCGGTAATCGTTACATCCCTAGTAACTGGTAGTGAGCTGTTACTCTGTGTTAAATCCTGTAGAAGGACAGTCATTAACAAAAAGCCACATTTGCCAAAATAAAAGTGTTTGTTTACATAATATATGAGTGTGTACTGTGTATATTTATTATGTATAAATAAATACAAACACATGCATGTATATTAGGGATGCACCGATACCACTTTTTCCAGTACTAGCCCGATACGATACTTTTATTTTTGGTACTTGCCGATACATAGTACGGATATTTTTATTGCATTTGTAAATTTTTCAAATATTGGGTGCAGAAAACAAGAGTATGTATAATGTTAGTTGGTTAAATTCATTTATCAAATAGATAAAGTCAAACAAAAAATTATTCAGAAACCTCACATTATTACAGTTTATTCGCTATAGTTTAGAAAATGGTAATGAAATATGACAAGAACTCAGAGTTAAACTGTGTCAGAACAAATTCAGCTTGATAATGTTAGATAACTTTGATAGAAAGGTATGTAATGGATTACAATCAACCAAAAATTATTCAGATAGTATGACAGTATTAACACAACTATCAATACTTAGTCGGGCAACTCTTAGCCTTAATGACAGCCTGTAGTCTCCTGGGCATGCTGTCAACCAGGTTCATGCAAACCTCAACTTCAATTTCCCCCCCCCAGACTCGGTCTGAATAAGTTTTGGTCCCAAATTTGTATCAGTTTTACTGGTAGTCCACTGTATGAAGAATTTTTGGGTATGATTTGTCACAGTTTACTTTATTTTTGCTATCCTCACTTTACATAAATGAACTATAGTGTCCTGCACCCAATAGTAAAAAAAAATATAAAAAAATTATATCTGGTCTCTGAATAATTTTTGGTTTGGCTGTATATCCTTTGGTTATTTTCACACTTAATTATGCCCATTACAATGCATTTTACAACTTTTTGTTACTTTCACTTTTTTTTGCTCTATGGTACATCATCTGTAATTTAATAGCATTAGAGCTGCTCCATTGCAGCGGCTTAGTACTGTAATCACGTGCTTTGCTGTAATAATGCAGGGAACCACACGTTATAAATCTCCTAACTGTGATATTTTCAGAAAATAGAAGTCGCGTTTTTTTCATCTGAAATGTGCTGCGATTTATATTCCAAAGCCACCCATATAACCTAATGCAGAAACACTCAAGCAAGCAAAACGATTATTATAAAAATAAATTATGTTTATAGTGAATGCCCCTATAAATGGTCTTATTTTTACGATTTAGTTTTAATCCAAATTATACATGTGCTAAGTGAGTGAACATCAAAGATCACACAACAGAAGTGCGCGCACGTTCTCTCTCTCTCTTGCGCTCTCTCTCTCTCCCTACCGTTAAGTAACTTGTGCATTGTTTTACTTACTTGTTTTTGACATATCCGACCGAACTACAAACTTTCCAGTGATGTCTGTGAGAAAGGACAGTTCTTTCTGGTCCTCGAATCTGATTGGCTGATAAGAGTGCGATATTAGAGTGATATCAGAACTCCAACAGCCGTTTCACCGATTGTATTACTCCGCTTGCGATACTTCTTACAGCGAGTGTCATGGCGGACGCGAAAAACCAGTATTATTTTTAAAATATTACTGTTTTTGTGTCATGGAATGTAGTTTTAAAAGGTTTTCAGGGCGAGAATATACTTGTTTATAGTTCAAATATGCAGTTTGTAAATAAAGATAACATCTATTTGAAAATTTTATTCAACATTTTCGGAGCTGTGAGCTCCAGATGGTCAGCGGCCGTTCAGCGCTCATGAAGCCGCCCGAGCCGCCCGCCTGGCTCTGATGTCTCTGTAGTGGTTAAACATGAGATGTGAAGAATGAATGCTGTATCAGATGCAGGTAATCACACTCGCTCAGTCCATCTCTCTCTCACAATATCTACTATAGATAATACACTGCTTTTAATACAGTAAGCTTTCAATGAAGCAACTCAACGTTCCTTCGTTGCTATAGTTCTAAAGTGATATTTTGGAATTAGTAATGGAGGCTTGGGCTCAGCTGTTCAACTGTCAAACTTTGATTTGAATCCATGGAGGAAGTAGTTTGCACAAAAGAGGGCTTTTAAAGACACTCTGTTGTTATTCTGTTTACACACTCGTGCCGTCGAACTGTTGTATAAACGCAATATCACACTCATAGACGTGAGATATGGCTGTATATTTGCACGCTGTGATTACCTGCGGCCTATGGCCGAATCACAGCCGTGCTGATTTTGAGCCATATCTCACATTTGCGAGTGTGATATTGCTCATATATAATACCTTTAACTCAAGAGACATAGCCTATACAAAATTCTGTCCAGAAAAAGAATTCAGAACTTAGAATTTAGAACTTTTTTTTCATTTCAGCTAGTTACCATACCAACATTATAATGTTCATTTAGTTTAACTTGATGTACTAAAATAACTAAAAGTAAAAGTGAAATAAACATGAATAAAAGCTCTACAGACAATTAAAAAAAAAACTAATAAAAGTGGCAAAAACACACAACAAAATTATTAAAACTTTAAGTAAAATGAAAATGGTTTTAAAATGAAAACTAGCCTAATTCAAAATTTAAATAAAAACTATAATAATATCCCAATTATATTAAAATAACACTGGGCAAAACTAGCAATATCCATTATCAAATCATATGTTGTTCTGTTGAATTATATTTATTGAATTATTATATTCACTGTTAGAAAGACAAGTTTTATTTAAAAGTTCAATAATAAATACTATAATAGTATCTAAATAATACTTAAAATTTTTTTTAAATAAAACAACTGCAAGATACTGAAATGGGATAAACATCAAAATTCACACTGTTTCATAAGTACAGCCATGTCATGACCACGTAAACGCAGTAAACATTTTATGTGCAAGGCCACCAGAAAGAAATGAGATTGAATCATTCAGAGAAATTCCATCCACTTGAAATCACATTGAATTCATCCATCAAGTAAAGTAGTTCCACTTCAAAAGGACGATTTAGACTTAAATCTCAAATATCAAACTTTTGCACAGAATAACAAAAGCTCCGCTTTTCTGTGAAATCCCCTGAATGCCTTGTCCAACTGTAAATGCATTACCGTAAAACTTTCGGTTTGTTTTTTCTGAACTGAGAAATAATTTTCTGTCCTTCGTGACTCAGATCCTGTCAATAGAGTATGTTGTATTTATCTGGAACATTCTTTAAAGACAAGCTGCCACTGCTTTCCATCTTTCATGGCCGACAGCAGTAAATCAGTCTGTTCATAACTTTGAATCACATCAACGAGCCAGATTGTTTTCCTCGGCTAATAATTCATACACGGATCATCCATATGGCAGAGTGAAAATATGTATAAAAAGTGCCTGAGTAATGAGATTGCAGGGCTGGTTAGGGACTGATAGTTGTTTTAGTGAAACGGCAGATGTTCTGGTGACGGAAAAAAAAAGCTTTTATGCTGCACATTAAAGACAGTTAGATAGAATGAGAGAGAGACAGTGGATTGAGAACATGGAAGATGATAAAAAGAAAGCCAAACTCTGGTGATACGCACAGAGAAAGTAATATTTACTGGAACTGGGAAGAAAGACAAGGTATTTTTTTCTCACCGGGGGAGTAGCCAGCCAGCCGTACTTGTCCTCCGTGCGGTTCATGTCTCGGTCGAAAGCGTACAGCTGCCGGTAACGCAGGTGATCCAAGTCTATGAGGTTGAACTGCCGGCGGGCGTAATGATAACTCTCATTGTTGCCGTGGGCAGCAGCGTTCTGGATGAGCTGCAGCTGTCTAATTGCCTTCTTGGGAAGGCCGGTGAGGAGACCATTACAATAGTCCACCCTGCTGGTGATAAAGGCATGAACAAGTTTCTCCAAGTCTTGACTGGAAACAAAACATCTAATTCTTGCAATGTTTTTGAGATGATAGTATGCTGATTTAGTTAC